AATTTAAAAAATACAGAAAAGTACAAAAAATAAGACAAGATATCCATATACCACAATCCAGAATTAGCCAGTATCTTCATATATTTACTTGCAGTCTTCAAGAGAAATGGATGTTTTATATAAAAAGCTGAAGCCCCCTCCCCACCCTACCTCCCATACTTATTCCCTACCCCTCTCACTCTTCACAGGCTACCACTATCAAGTTTGGCCTGTATTTTTCCATTTCAAAAATGTTAACATACACGTATGTATTCATTACCAATATAAAGTACTAAATTTCATGTAAGTTTTTATTCAAATTTACAGTGTCACTATATGTATCATCCTGCAACTTCTTTTTCCCCCTCAATGCAATTTTTTTTAGATCCTTCTGTTAATAACATGTGGATCTCATWGTTGCATTTTGCAGATGTATAGTGTCACATCATAAGAACTTCTTTTTGTTCCTGATGAACAATTAAGTTGTTTCCAATATTTGGCTACAAATCAAGCCACAGTAGATTTCCTGGTATCTCCTGAGCATATACACTCACAAGTAAAACTGCTAAATATTTTTAAATTTGTTAAGAAGAAGGAAAGTTTCCCTACTCCAAAGGTCACAGYCACTTTAGTGCATGGCTTTTGTATCTTTCAGCCTTCAATTCCCATGAATTTTGCTTTTGTGTTCATGGTCTGTTTTCTTTCCTCTTCAGAGAACAAATTACCTCCAAATAATTTTTTAAAATAGTCCCATATTTTCTCATCTGATGGATTTCTTTAATATTGCAAATTCTACTAAATGCATAGGTCTCTTTCTGGAATCTCTTTCCCTCTGCTAAAGCAATACCAGAGTTTTATTACTTATAGATGATCATACCATCTGTTGTCTCTTCCTAACACAACTTATTACACAATTGTGAAGAACTTCACATCTATATTGATGGAGTAACAGGCCTGTTTTCTGTTTCAATTTTAATGGAAATGTCTATTGTTTTAGCTTTACCTTTACCATTGACTGTGGAGTATTTTTTTATTGGCAGTCTGTTTATCATACAAATGTCTTCCTCTTCAATATGAATTTTCAGTGTCCTCAAAGTTGTTCCCTTCATTTGTGATACACTGCCTCAGAATGACTTTATGATATATAAATTTTTGATGCATTCCCATCTTGAAGATATTCATAGGATTTTTAATGAGTATGAATTTTCTGATGTCTAATATGGTGTGATTTCTGGCTGAAAGCTTTCCCACATTCACTGCATTGGTAAGGTTTCTTACCTGTATGTATTCTCAAATGCAGAGCTAGGGTTGAGAATTGAGAGAAAGCTTTTCCACATTCATTACATCCGTAAGGTTTCTCACCTGTATGGCTTCTTACATGTACAGTGAGAGATGAACTCTGAGAGAAGGCTTTTCCACATACATTGCATTCATAAGGTTTATCACCTGAATGAATTCTCACATGCACAATAAGTGATGTTCGTTGAGAGAAGGCTTTTCCACATTCATTACATTCATAGGGTTTCTCTCCAGTGTGAATGTTTTGATGCTTTATGAGGTACTTCTTCTGGCCAAAAGCTGTTCCACACTCATTACATTTAAAGG